ATTAGAGATTCGAAGCTTTTCTGTAATGTAAAAACAAACTCGAATTTAGGATTAGTGATTATTAGCTAAGCACTTAATATTGAACCGAAGAATATACACATGAATAAAGAAAATTTATACATTTATCCGTAAATAAAGGACAATTATTGAAGCACCACTGAATTTACACGCACAATTTAATCACAAATAATACCAGAAATAATGCTACCACGTACCTCTGCGGTGGATCACGCAACATAGACAAGAAACTATGCATCCATCGGCGGAGTCATTTCGGTGGTGAATCTAAACTAAAATGACAAATTTCACGAATCCTTTTGCAATCCCTAACTATATTATGCATAGTTATCCAGCAATAACAATGCTAGACAATTGTGGAAACGTCTCCTTACTTACAGTTAAAACCTGCCTAATTGATGGCGGACTATGCGCGTCATATGTACAGTTTAGCAATTAATGCGTATTAAGTACTGTATCCTTATCCTTGCTTAACACTCAAAAGCGGTTAATTAACGATCGTCATATAATGAATAGCAGATTATATGTTTGAAATAAACTATGAAGCAGCTGATGCATTTCACATCGTTTATAAAAGTTGACGCATATCATTTATTTATTCGTGCAGAATCACGATCCTGGAATAAATTAAGTTGTGTGACTGATCTCTTATCTCGTATTAAAGTTGATGCATATCATATATTACATTGATATTCGTGCAGAATCACGATCCTAGAATAAATCAAGTTTTGTGCCTGATCAACTTAATATGTGAAGATCTGTCGCGTGCAGCGCGTGTTGGGACCAGCTCTGGCTTTGAAGAAACGTCGGGCTGGCTCCGCTTAGGAAAACTTATGCCGAACTTTGCTGAGAAAATCAATACAAAAGTTGTGTTTTCTCATCGCTTCTCTCAAACTGTCGAGCAAGTGGAGGGCAATTTTCACTAAGCTAAGGGCAGCATTAAAAAGTTATAATGCGTCGAATTTCAATAACAATCGGCTACGCTGGCGCTGCTGCTCAAAGCGCAGCCGTGCACGTGACGTAAGGGGACTAACGCATTTTTTTCGTTGCACCTTAGGTAGTAAACTTTTGTATTTTTTATTTAATTAAATTTAAATTTTATTGTAAAAAAAGGATATCTAGTATAAGAAAATAGTATAAGAGTCAACAATTTTTGAATGAAATTTTGATGTGAGGTTTATTCATAATAATTGTTTATTCAGTTGGTTATTTTTTCAATTCTGAGAAGACTTCATTATAATGAAGGCTACTCAGGATTATAATATAATCCTCAGGATGAAGGATTATGAAAAATATGATGTCTTGCAATTACATGAGAAGAATGTAAGCTGACGTAGCAAATATTGCGATTGCATTGAATCGCTTGCCTTCAAGTGACCGGAGTTTGCCCTAGCAACTCTTGGTAGCTGTTTGTGTTGTTATGTAATCCGTGGGTCTTACAAATATTGAGTGTGAGGTTTTTTCCGACATAAACAATTTTTTCTCCAATGAATGACTAAAGAATTAAAACTGAAAAATTTATTTGATTATAATTCACCAGTAAACAATCCTTCAAGTTCATGTCTTTTGTTTGGTTTCTGAATTTTACTTCTGTCTCCACTCTATTTCGTAATGTTTTCTTACGTTAAGAATGTTCAATATTATATCAAAGCCTCATTTTTAGCTACATCTCCCTACGTTTATTTTCATATTGCATTTGTAGAAAAATTTTCCTTTCACATATGGTAACAATTATTTCGAGTACTAGTGCAAAAATCATTAATTTGTGCAATTTATCCCTCATAATTTAGCCTCTAACCCTCAGCATCTGAGCTTTCCTCTGCACAGCGCTGACACCTACAGCTTAGCGCCTTACAAGAGTCCTTAGTATCCTTTGTTTCTTTAGTATCCTTAGTACCCTTACTATCCTTAGTATCCTTAGTATCCTTAGTATCCTTAGTCTCCTCTGTCTCCTTTGTATCGGACGTAGCAGTCCCAGTCACCTGACCACGATGGTCTTCCATTGTATCGTTCATCGTCAGTGTCAGTTAAACGATCGATGTCTCGGTCGATATTTGTAACAACGTATATAAATACACGTATTGATGGCTGTCCGAGTACATGTTGTTATGATCATCGTACCGCATAATAATTATTTGTTCATTTGAATCTGTATATAACTTTGATACACTGAAGCTTTCTGAACTCATTTTTAATTATCTTTATGTGTTTTGAACGTATTTTTCTCAATTATTAGTCGTACTTATGAACTAAACAAATGGTTCTTTGAAGAAGGACGTGTCGGTATGTAGAACATTTGGACAGGAGTGAGCCGAGAAGTGGAAGCCGAATAAGGAAGACGTTTGTACTTTGTATAAAGTTTATGAGTTTAACGTCAGAAATCGTCAGTGTTTTGTTTTTATCCTCAAAGTGTAGTTTGTACCACCAAAACTATTCAATCGCCCAATTAAGGCTCCTATGAAATGCTTGCCACCTTATAATCGAGGCAGCGTGTGCGCCACGACAAAGTTATTGTTATAATATATCGATTCTGTCATGTCATACTTTGTCACATTGTGTCGAAGTCAAAACCTTGCACAAATGACAATATCGAGTTCACCGATATTCAATGTAGTATAGATAAAGTTAACGTCAAATATAAATAACAATGTATTACAAGTGTGAGAGCGCTCCTTCAAATTAAAAAAATCTGGCTTATATTACGGTTTGACTTTAGCAACAAGAAAACCCTATAAACGCCTTGATTTCGGCGATCTTCAAGGAACACAGTGCTCTGTGAAATTCGACGTTCACTGAAAATTCGAAAAACAAAATCGTTTATCTCGGAGGAACACAAGGAATGAAATCCTATACGCTGAGATTGCTTACCTCGGACACGCAAAAATGAATCGGATTTATTCAGCGAAAAAGGATAGGGCTCGCACCCGCCACTCACCTGCGCATTGACCTATCAACACGACTTGTGGCCAGGCCAGCGGTCAGTGCATGAAAAACGTCAGGAAATTCGTAGGCCTGCATCCGGTTAAAATTTTCCTTGTAATTTTATTCCAGGAGGTATTCTTCAATCGATGTTCCACGTTTGAAGCTAATAAATAATTCGGATGTCTTTCGACATTTTTGTTCAAGAATTTGTTATAAAGTATTTTTATTCGGCATGTTAGCCATTGCCACTAGTTACCTTTTCAACTTTATATTAAAACGAGTCCACAAAAGTTTTTCCGCAGAATTTGTTTAGTAAATTTTATTCTACTGTATTAAAGATTTAGTCCCACAACAGTGATTATTATCACACAATAACTGCGCACATTCCTGAAACGATTTTTCCACGAATTGTTCACGTAATCGTTCGACAGCTGCTGGCGAGAAGCGCATCCATTTTTCTGAGAATTCTTGTCTGATGTCGACGGTTTTCACACGCAAGCCTAATAAAAAAAAGGCTATAACTTCTGTTCCTCTTATCACGAACTTAATGACAACGAACAGCTGAGGAAAAGTCGTCGGCAATCAAACTAATTTCCTAGAAATACTGAAGGTCTTTTCAGTTCTTATTGTACGAGATAAAAAAATCCGACGACCGCATCACAACCTGGTGACAGGTGTTGTGGAAGTTCCTTTGTGAATTGCATGTGAATTTAACCGCCTAGCTACCACTTATCAACCATGAAACTCACTTAAGTTTTTAAGAACAATTAATACTTCTATCATAGAAAATTTGATAACGTTTCTTCAACTCAGCATAGATACCTGTATTGAAGTTCCTAAAATATAAATCAAATTAAATTATCACTAGCACTATATCAACGCACATATTGATTTTTCATCACAATAGAGTCATTTCGAAATACAATTTTAAACTAAGACGCTCCCGCGGTTTGTTGCTGAACCATCGATCCCACCATCAGTGGGTACTGATGGCAGGGGTGCCAAAGCTATGCCAATATCGGCCGGGTTCTTTGGTAAGCTTTAATAAATTGTCACCGAGCAGGGAGGCCACTTCAAAAGCTGCCTTTGTGTCTGCGCTGGACAAGTTTTTGTCTTCACTGTGACGCCTGCAGTCGCTTCTCTTCTACCTTCACGCGTTCTATCTAATCCCTCTGTCGTTCTTGCGTTTCCTTCCGACGTTCTCCTTCTTCCTTCATTCATTCTTTTTAATCTAACTTTCAATATTCATGTTCCTTCAGTCGTTTTACTCTTACCTCAGTCTCTCCTATCTTAGTTTTATCTAACTTTTTTTAACTAGGTCGTTCATCCACTTCCCTCAGTCGCTTTCCCTCATTCTTGATCTAGCCATTATTCATCATCACTCTGTCGTTAATCTTATTTTATTTGCGTTTTTTATTTTCCTTTAATCATTCTTTCTTTTCCTTATTGGTTTACACTCTTCCTATAAAGTAATTTTAAACTCACGAAACTTGTATGAATAGCTTGAAAAATGACTGCAGTTAAATCATTCTTCGCGGTCTAAAAAAATAACTAGTCGAGATAAGTTTAGATCGAATGCCGCCCTTCGTAAGTTTCAAGTGGTATTACAATTTTTCATAGTAAAAGCATGCTACATTTTATTTTATAAGTTAATAACTTTTTGTGCGTAACATACGGATATTTTATAGATACATACTCGAATGTGAGCTGGTAATGAGATTTGAACACAACTTCTCATAAAACTTGAATTAGACGATACGTTGATGGCTGATATGAATGTGATTAACTTCGTCACATGACGACAACGGCAAAAAATCTAACAGTTCTAATCGTCTGAATTTCAGGTAGTGTCATGTATGTTGTACTTAACTTATGGTCATTATGCAATCATCGTCGAATTTTGCGTCATTAAAAAGCGCTAACATACTCTGGGCTGATCGGCAGCATAATTCGTTCACGATAGTTATCAGTTCAAACCCCAGATGGTAAATTCACATTGCAATCGGGCAACGATGTATAAATTATGCCGCCCAATTGTGCATTGTCCTGTTCAATTCGAATATTCCCCCGTAAAACACATGCTTCGTAGTCAGCATCGATAATTATTGACGAACCGTACAAAATGATGAAATTAGTGCATGCAGGATTTATTATTTGCGCTTTTGCCGCTCTGGGTTAGTCATTCGAATATATCCTAATATATGGAAATATTAGATAGTTAAAAAGGGCTAAATTGTTAAAATTTATCTTTGGAAAGTATTGAATTTTTCAAACTGACAATTTTTCGGGATAATGTGATTCTCAAATTGTAGAGATCAACAATTCAGGGCTCACTGGATATTGTATTATGCTATGCTCAGTCGTGCTATGTTCCGATAAACATTTTGAGAAATATAAATTCCCGAATTTTATTATGCAAAGTATGGTACATAAATCTTCAATTCATTGTCTTTTGAATGATAAATAAATAACGTTGTCTTCTGGAATAATCATAATATTTTTTTGCTGGCATTATTATTGATAATAAATTCCATTTCCAGCATCAGCCGCTGACCCATGTGCTCCGGACTGCGAGGGGGTTCAAGGCTCTTTCCCTAACCCCACGGACTGTACGAAATACTACCAGTGTGCGCAAGGGGTCGCCGTGCCCAGAACGTGCCCTGATGGCACCTACTTCAACCCTACCTTCAGCATTTGTGACCATCCGGAGGATGCAGGATGTACCGCTGATCCTGACTTCGATTGCGGCGGAACAACAACTGAGGTGACTACCACTTCTGCGGTTGAGACCACCGAGGCTCTGGTGGACACTACGACTGTTGGTGGAGTTGAAACCACTGTAGATACTGTTGAAACTACTGCCCCAGTAAACACAACTGTTGAACCAATAGACACAACTGCTGCCCCAGTAGACACAACTGCTGCCCCAGTAGACACAACGGCTGCCCCAGTAGACACAACTGCTGCCCCAGTAGACACAACGGCTGCTCCAGTAGACACAACGGCTGGCCCAGTAGACACAACGGCTGCCCCAGTAGACACAACGGCTGGCCCAGTAGACACAACGGCTGGCCCAGTAGACGCAACGGCTGCTCCAGTAGACACGACTGCTGGCCCAACATACACGACTGCTGCCCCAGTAGATACGACTGTAACCACAGTAGATGCGACTGTAACCACAGTGGATGCGATTGTAACCACAGTAGAGACGACTGTAACCACAGTAGAGACGACTGTAACCACAGTACCAGTTGAATGCATCCCGCCGTGTCCATCACCAGAAGCCACTTACCCCAACCCACGCGACTGCAGCAGCTTCTTCCAATGTTCAAATGATGAACCTCTTCTGATGACCTGCTACCCAGGGCTGTACTTCAACCCTGCTAGTGGAAGGTGCGACTTCCCTGAGAACATGGAATGCACCGCCGGACCAGACGCTCCCTGCGTAGCCATCACCGTCGCTCCGAGATTTTGAGTTCGATTTGGTTTCCAACAGTGGGAATAAGGTGGAATGGAATGTGAAACTGTTTGCAAATATTCTTGGAGGCATAAAATGATTTAAAAGTATGAGCATATGGTGGCAGTTTTGAAAAATAGCTTTTGAGCATATGGCGGCATATATGAAAAATAGCTTTTGAAATATATGTAGCTTATGAGTTAGATTACGTTTCCTACAGTGGGAATATGGTGGAATGGAGTGTGAAACTGTTTGCAAATGTTCTTGGAAGCATAAAATGCTTTAAAGTATGAGCATATGGTGGCAGTTTTGAAAAATGGCTTCTTTTTTAAAATAAAATCTCTTATTTGCATGCAGAAGAATCAGATTTGAAAACAGAAATATTAATAATTTAATTTGCCAACTGATGCCTTGATACTAAATTTCATTTTTCTTAGTATATATGCCCTGTAATGATATTTCTGAATAATAAATATCCATGAAATCTTTTACGCTGTTCATTTGTATGTCGAAGAATAAACACTGCAGGAAAGAGGTGAGCTAACTTCATTCGCACGCTGATTTCAAGTTTTTAATTCTAATTCATGTGGAAAAAAATTGAAAATAATTTGTCTATGAGATTTCTTGCATTTCATTTTTCCATCAACGACCGCACGCTTTCGAAGAGATTGTTATGGAGATTGTTCCTTGATGCTCCTGTAAGTAAATATTGACACATTTAAATTTCTGAATACGAAAAGAAACTGATCACATCACCACGTAGTCTTACAAGAGGTGAATCTTTAGGGAATAACGCATAAAAGAAGTTACTGGAAAAAATTTGCGCGTTCACATGGGTTTACTACAGAGCAATCAAGAAATTTTTGAAATATTTGAGGTTCAAAGCTGATTCGTATAGCGAAGATGAAGATGACTGATATTGTCAGCATCGTCATAAACGGAATACATTATAGTTCATTAATTAATTTATTAAATAGTTTGTCTCTGACATCGTATACTCGATTCTAACTTTAATCTGCAACTTTTTACGTGGTTTTCAACCTCTAAGTTTCTTCCAATTTGCTTGGCAAACTGAAAATTATAAGGTTCGGTTGTCTCACCAACCAAAATTTTCTCATACCTAAAAAACTTATCATCAAACTTATCTCGGCGACCTGATTTTTCCCTTTTTCTCTCTATCAATCTCAATTTCTCCCAACACCCGTTCATCCCCAAGTCTGTCTGGTCCGTCCTCCTCATATCCCGCACGTAATAAACACCCTAGGCGCAGAGCGGTGTTATCGCATTGCAGCTCTTATATGAAGCCTTCTATTTGTTCAACTCCGTTTATTGGAATCTCCCAGGACCTGGAGTGAAGACCACGACCAGAAAATCCTATAAGACGAGCGATACTCGAGTTCCGCCTCTGGGTTGGGTGGCTCACGACATGATTGAGGCAGGAATTCGGTCGAATTAGAAAGGCTGGTCGGAACGTCATGTTCAACTGCACTACAATGTAGACCAGCCGTACGCTTACAATTTGTTTTTATTCTTTTAGTTTCAGAGTTGCCTTTGATATATTTCGCACCTATACTTTTGGGAAATAAAACCTTTTAATTTTTTTCTAGGACACCAATAGGAAGCTAAAGATGTTGTAACACGCCAAGTTCTTAATTATATTTAATTTAACGCAGATAATCTGAATTAAATTTCTGGATTTCTTAGCCGCAGCAGTTGATTAATTTAAAAAAGGCGTTGAATTGTGGCAAACACTACTAATGTGATACAAGAATTAGGCATAAAAAGAAACATAGTTTTGAAATTGTACTTCAACATTTTTATTCGAATTCAAACAGATGATGTTTAAATACATTTCCTTCATCCTGAATCATCTCCTAACAGCTTATTGACTAACGACAATAAAATCATTTACTGATACTTAAATCAGTAAGGGTATGACAAAATTTCTTCAATTTAAAATTAAATCGCCTAATTTACTTATGAGTGACTGAAAAATGAAACAATGAATAATAATAATATAAAATGAATAATAACATAATAAGTTAATTTCATATTAACTAGTTCTACGAATTCTTAAACCCGCTAGAATTATTTTATTAAGTAATACTGATTGCCGTTTATAAATTTAAGCGAGTATTGGAGCGATAAATCTATTAGAAATTGTGCAACTAGCTCGTCAGATGTTTATTTTGTACAAGAGACTAATTCACTTTCCGGAACCGCAGAGACCGCACTTCATTGTAACAGTTTTCAACAGGGCGCATTTGGATCGTCAGTGCAATCAACATTCTCAGGAAAGTCACACTTCTCAGTATCTGGATTGTACAATAAATTATCAGAGCAATTCATTAGAACAGGCAGGCCATTGGAGCAGACAAAGAACGTGGAGCAATCACGAGGGTTTGGTATGATGCCGTTGCTTGAGCATGACGGCACACAGTCTGTGGGAGGGATGGTCGAGAGAGGATGTGTCGTGTTATCGAAGTCCCACGTTGTCGAATCAGCTGTCGAGCTTTCATTCAATTCTGCGGTTGTGTCATCAGTTTCTTCAGTGGCTGTAGACAATGTAGTACTAGCTGTAGTAACGCTCGGGATAGACAATTCGGTTGTGCTTTGCTCATCCGTTGTCTCTGAAGCACTTGTCGAGGAAGATGTAGTGAGGTTAAATGTTGTTTGGGTAGTTTGAGTCGTCATGAAATTTGTGTTTAGAGGGGTAGTTGTCACAGTGTTAGGATTAGATAAAGTTGAGGAAATTTCACCTCCACATATGTAATTAGGATCAGCCGTACATCCCGCGCTAATTGGGTGATCACAGACGCCGTATTTAGGATTGAAATAGAGGTCGTCTGGACACTCCTCGAGAACTGGTTCCCCGTTGGCACATTGGTAATATTTTGTGCAATTCTTCGGGTGTGGTAAGAACAGATCACCTTGAGAACAGTCGGGGGCACATGGGTCGTCATCGGTCATGAATCCTGAAATTAAGCAACCTATATTGATATGATACATATATTGAAATACTAACAGTATTGAGCACCAACAACATTAAACAGTACAGGTCAGTTAACAGTCAACAACATACCTCGAATTCCAATGGTGAAGAGTGAGATGATTATCACTTTGACCCAGACTTCGAAAAGTTCCATGGGAGATTAAAAAATCGATGGACTCCCACATCTATAGCAGCTCTGAAGAGACAAGAGGGTAAAGCTTCAGTGGCCCGAAATTTACTAATAGAAAACTCAGGAGGAGATTTTTAGAGTTACCACCTTGTCAAGTTCCCAGCACTATGTCACCGATGACTGATAAGAACTTATCAGTTAGTGTAATGTCCTATAGGGTAAGTTGTATATCAATCACTTTAAATATTATTCATCGATAGATAACTTGCATCCTTTCTAGCAATCGCTCAATAGGATGACTATTAGAACATCATGTTTCATGCGCTTGAGCTCTAATTTGAAACACCGACTTATCTCTGAGGGTATGGCATGCAACTCTTGTAGATGTTACATGTTGATAATTTGATTGGTCAAAATTATTATTAATGTTGACATGACATGAACGTCGCTGCAACGGAGTTTACATATGATTTATAATAATTCATGAGTACTCGATAATTACTGAGAATCTATACCAATAAAAGACATTCATCGTGAAAACCCCGTATAAATTCATATCAATATGAACTTGGATTGCTGTTGGAAACTGAAATTGTATGAACTGTTTTTTATTAATATTCTTCATCTTTGTTGAGTAATTGGTGTGCGAATCTCCATTGCCATTTAAAATAGCAAATAGCATTAAAATAGTAAATAGCATTCATTGCATGGTGGAAAGCGCCATTTGAAATAACAGTTACGTAGCACGTGTACAGAGGTGGGGCAAATAACAGTTACGTAGCACGTGAACAGAGGTGGGCAAATAACAGTTACGTAGCACGGGTACAGAGGTGGGGCAAATAACAGTTACGTAGCACGTGTACAGAGGTGGGGCAAATAACAGTTACGTAGCACGTGAACAGAGGTGGGGCAAATAACAGCTACGTAGCACGTGTACAGAGGTGGGTGCAGCTCATGACTGGCAAAGAAAGATATGGCAATCAATGGGAATATTTTAATCGGTGAGCACATGAGGATCTCACACTTGGACGGCCACGATTCTTGGAAATATTCACGGAGTATTTCCAATCTTGTGTACTGTATCTTATATATCTGACATGATTTTTTTTCGTTAAACCTTCTAACTTAATAGTAGATATATGTGCAAGTAAAATGGTAATCACCATTTAGCATAATTTTTTCTCTAGAAAATAGTTATTAAAGGATTTAAGCTGTAATGAATTTTAGCTTTAGGAATATTGTAGCAGATGTTCTGGCAACATTAACCTAAGTATTGAAAGGACCTGTCTTACGGTGCGGCCATTCGATGATCCTGACTGAAGCCAACCGCTTGTGTTCTTGCTCTTATTGGTAAGCGTCGAGGTTCTCTAATTTGTTATAGCAAAACTGTGAGAATGTGTTTAGAATAATGACTTATCTGGTTATTAGTGTTTAATTAATTTAATGAAATGCGTGTTTATTTGTAGGAGAACTTCCCTCCTCTGTTCTGCTGTTCTACTAGAATAAACTTGGAACTTGGACCAATCCTAATAACCCAAACGCCCAACGCAAGTTACCGTCAGCTAGTCAATGAACCCATCAGTTTGAACCCGAACCAATAGGAACATTACATAAGCATTAACCGAAAAAGACACCGCAGAAATATAGCTTTTCAAAATTCCTGAGCTACTACGTTCTGAAGAACAAACCATGCATAGTAAACAAATTCGAGTTGTAGGTAATAAATATATTTATTGAGGGATATGTCAGGGCAGAATTTCCCTGAATTTCATCTCGGCAGAGACATATTCACTTAATTTGTGCACAATGGATAACGTTTACAAGGAACCATAATCATACAGCTGATAACATCAGACTGTTTATATATCAATACAATTCAGATACACTCTTCATAGCTCCCCAATTGGACATTTATTAAGAGGAGCGCATGGTCCGGTCTGATCACTGTGCATGCTTGTGACATGAGTCGTCACCTGATCGTAAGTCCATCTTCTTCGATTGTCCTTTATATGATAACAATATCGTTAGATAGTATAATTAACTGACCCGGCTACTGATTGAAACAGAATAGTGGATAGGAGCCGATAAAGCCATAGTCAGATTCATCAATTTTTTTTACCGATTTTCTCTTCTTAATTTTTGTATATCTGCAAAAATTTTTGCAAAATTTTTTTTTGTATTTCTGCTTCCTCCCACCAGGGGGAGCGTTTATCCAACATTGAAACGAATTAATTCGCATTTGCTCAATTAATTTGCCTAGTTACGAATAAATTAAATCATGGCAAGATTATAATAATAAATTTGTACCGAATTAATAATTTTTTATTATAGTCTGAGATCAAAGTTTATTTTTTTACTGTTATTTGATTCTCATGTCTCAAGCTCATTGATTAAACGGTATACTCTTGCAATCGTCTTATTTCACAAATTTTCTAAAAAACATTATAAGTTTATCCCACAATATTTTCAACTACCTCATAATCCTGTGCCGCAAGTTTTCCAGCAATCGAAGTTAATTCATCAAGGAACGTTTTCCAACCAATTTAATTTGACGTCCGGTGCTATTTTTTCGATTATATCTAAATTACTTTTAAATTCAATTCGTCTCAATTTCATAAAGTAACTGACAAAATGTGCATGTACTATATAATCTCTTCATGTGTTGGTATCTGTTAAGCCTGGTGTTACAGATACCGCCCACATTATCTCCATCATAGAGTGAATATCGTCGAGATAAATCAACAGTGCGCACGTTAGAATGGTTTCTGTAATACATTGATTTTTCCTCGTACCATGGTTAGCAAAAGATTCATATCTGCCTTGTCCTGAATTAACCGTCAATATGAATTAACCGCATAACAGAAAAAAATTCCATTTCCGAAAGAAGAAAACCGTCAAATCGAAATAGCCGTCTAATAAAAACAGCGTACTCAAAAAAACTGTCTACTTAAAAAAAACCGTCTTTCGGAAAACCGCCTACCCTGTATGTTGTTGAAAAATCTAAGCTGTGTCACAATTCGGCATAAAAATTACGATAATCTGCATCTGATCCGAGTTTATTATTTGTACATTTTATATTCAATTTGATTTCATGATTATAGACACGTGTATCCGCGTCCGAAAGTAAATCTACACATACCTGGCTTATTTAGAATTAATAAATGACGTCCACAATGTGGCTTCCTGCTTTTGAAAAGATTTTTTCGGAATATTTTTAATTCTTTTTTTACATTTTTATTTTGTCGTAATTTTTTATTGATCGGAATTGTACATGTAACGGAAGGATACTCAGTGCCACATAAAATACATATAATCTTCAATAAAAAACACGGATTTTGTTTCATTTTGCATAATTTTCCTTGATTTAAAACAAAATTAGACTCTCAAACTGTTTAATCAGGGCAATGCAATTTAAACAATGCAATTGTCGTTGTTGTTTTTTTATTGTGTAGCTAACACGATAAGAACCTCGACTGAATTCCGCCGACCGTTAAGCAAGTTTAGTTCGATATCACAATGAAATGAGACCAGCAAACATCTCTGAAAAATTATATAAAAATGAAAACAATATAAATCGGCAAGTACATTTCGATAAAAAATGATGGCTCGTCGTAGTCGACAAAGCAGCATAACTGCAAATATCGTCATTATTTCGCATAGAATTGTCAGTTCTCCACTGCAGTTCCGAATCAGGGTTTAGTAAAATTGCAAATATGTATCTATTGTTAGCTCTAAAATTTAGGTGGATTGGTGACCGCAATGCATGGCTGGTCCGGCCCCGCAGTGCACTCGAAGGTGCCTGCGTCCTCGCAAAATTCTGTCTCAGGATTATATTCTTGGCCAGGACTGCATGTCATCAGGTAAGGAACTCCTCCGAAACACATGAAATAGGTGTCGCAGTCCCTGGGATTGGCGTATATTGCAGAGGACGACGGACAGGATGGGAAGCAGTCCAACGGAACATCAGTGCTGGGATTCAGTGAAGACAAGATTTCAGTGGTCGTGTAGCTCACCTCTTGTGTAGTGGTGAGTGATTCAGTTGTAAGTTCAGGAGTGTAACTTGAGGTGGAAACAATTTCTTCAGTCGTAGTTTTCTTGTCCGTTGTTGTTTCTTCGGTTGATATGGTTTCCATAGTAGTAGAATGCACTTCAGTGGTACTCTCAGCTGGCGCTGTCGTGGATGGAGCCGAAGTTGTGGTGCTCACTTCTCCGCCTCCGCAATCAAAATCAGGATCAGCGGTGCATCCTGCAGAGGCAGGGAAGTCGCACACGCCTGCGGTAGGATTGTATTCTAACCCGCCAGGACAGTGCTGGATGATAGCGTTGCCGTTGGCGCATTGGTAGTACTCGGTGCAGTCCTGAGGGTGCGGGTAGAGGCCGTCATCCCCGGGTGCGCAGTCGGGAGCGCAAGGGTCGTCCGCTGCCGCTGTACAAAACATGTTCATTTTCAATTCTGAAATTGTGATAAATTGCTTATGTAGACAAAATGGTGAATCAAAATCAATAACGAATCACAATTACACTATTTTTACATGCAACGAATCATAAGTTTGTGTTGACTGATGTGAGGTGATTGAAGATGATATACGATATTATTCTCAATGTGTTTGCAATGTATGAAGACACCACATCAGGGCATTGCCATCTTTTTCGTATTCCGAAGCAGTAAATTTTGATCCTTTCATGTACTTAACGTGACAATATTAAAAATATATTAGAAATTTAAAAGCGAAGAAAACACCACAAAAATTTAGCATATCTCTAAGAGATATGCTAAATTTTTGTGGTGTTTTCTTCGCTTTTAAATTTCTAGTGAATCTGCGATTAAAGCAATCTAGTGACTTTTTTAAAAATATATTTATTTAGATCATTATTCAACCTAGAGCGCAAGTTCACCAAGAATTTGAAAGCAAAGAAAATTCCAAGCAAGTTCATAATTTAATCTATGAAGACGTTTCGGAAACCAGCTCAATCATCAGTTTTAAAAATATATGATTGAAAATAGTATCGTTCAGCAACATCTCAGTAGCAAAAATAAAATATTAGCGTTCACCAACATCTCAGTAGCAAAAATAAAATATTAGCGTTCACCAACATCTCAGTAGCGAAAATAAAGTAGTAGCGTTCAGCAACATCTCAGTAGCAAAAATAAAATATTAGCGTTCACCAACATCTCAGTAGCGAAAATAAAATAGTAGCGTTCAGCAACATCTCAGTAGCGAAAATAAAATAGTAGCGCTCACCAACATCGCAAAATGGTTCAAATACATTTATTTTTTTTTCGGAATCACTATTACTCACAAGCTCCAAACACCAGAAGACAATAAATGAAAGCCCGGAACATTTCTCGTGAACAAGTTGCACTTTATGCAGGACCTTCGTACCCAAGACCAGCGTTGGCGTCCAAATGGGATAGCTTAAGAACAAAAAATATTGCCTTCTTTACGGCATCCAAAGACCGCGAGTTGTGAGAATTTGTCACGTGAAGGAGCTAGATAGCTGTTGGCAATGGGATACCTGTTGCATATGCGTACAAATGATTTATTAAGAATGATAACCAGTTACTGTCGTTGTCCAGATGTTTTTTTTTTTGCTAATCATTGTGATATGAGGTTACTTACAGAGGCATGGGGCCCCTTCTTATAGATTGTAACTTTTAGCAAAATAAAAAGAAATTCATTCACCTAATCGGCTTTAATTAACTCTATCGTCATTGAATTTTTGACTATGTACAGAAAGTCTTATATGTTACGTAATGCGGTTTTAATCACGGGGAAAATATTAATGAATAGTCATCAATAATTGGCAGTGTTTGAGTTTCTATCGCTGAGAATAAACTTAATGGAACGAGTTCATTATAAATTTTTGCTGAATATACCTTGAAAAATGATTTGCTGATGATATTAAAATATCTCAACAGAGGGTAAAACTGCCACCTGTACTTCTTTGGCGGTTAATTTTTTCAATTTGCATTTTTTCTTGTGCGGCAGCTTAGTTTTCATATCCCTTGAACAAATGATAAAAATGAGCATAAATTAATCTAATTATCACTGGAACAATTATTTTTATGAATAAAAATATAGATGTAATGTTGTTCTGATGATTAAATGTTAACTGTTTACACAAAAACATTCAACGGTGATTGGTTTGAAGTGGCAATTAGAGGTAAATGCGAACAAAACCGAACGAAAATCAGAATCTTTACGCTGATGTCAGAAGAACTTTACCATACATAATTATATTAATTTTCTACCTAGATATCTCGAGATTAGAAACACTTGCTATATTTCCACGCTGGTCAAATTTTTTCACCATATCTTGACAATGTGGTAACCTTCCACCCAATCTACGCCTCTAAAATCTAAGCTGCATAGCGCTGGTCTTCCCACTTCATCCTAAGTTTTAGTTCAGACAACAACTCTTGGATCCTACATATGAAAAGAAAATGGAGCTCAAAAAAGTTCTAAACGTTGTTGTATTTAGTTGGGTTTGCAGTCTGGCATTAGGTGAGTTGCCATGACAATTTGAAGTTTGTATTTGTTATAGTATTTTAAATAACTCCATATAATTGTGATTGATTCGAGGATTATTTTAATTTTTTTCTTTGTCTCTGTAAATATTCTAAAATTTGATAAAAATTAATAATGTTTGAATGAAAAATCAAATGCCGATTTTAAAACTCAGATATCATTTTTTTGTTGGTATTCTGTAATTGTCGCGTAAAAAGCAAAAACTTTATCAAACTCATGTGGTTCTGCCTTCATTAAGTTATTGGCATTGGACGATTTGCGCCGAAACATATTTATCTACCGATGTTATTTAATAGAAAACTGATTTACTGCGCATTTTGCTTTTAATATCGCATTCTGACATTCCTATCACATTCTTGATGTCGAATAATTTCAACGAGAAATTGGTGAGACACTTTGAACAAAGCTGGGTCGTTTGATTGGTATTGATTTCAGCTCATTGCCATATTCTCTGTATATTGCTGCACGAGATAAATTGTTTCTATGTGAAAGTAAATATATATAACTCCACCGATATGCCTGTTCAGGCAGGTCATTCGACTTCGACCCTTGTGCCCCTGTGTGTGAGGAAGGAACCTACAACGTTCCCCACCCGAAGGACTGCACGCTCTACTACGTCTGCGCCAACAAACAAGCAATTTTGCATCAATGCAGAGACGGATTGTACTTCAGTCCAAAGTTTGATACCTGCAACCAGCCCATTGACGCAGGCTGTACCGCCAACCCCAACTATGTATGTACCGGAGTAGCCTCGACCACCAACTTTCCAACTACCACTTGGGGATCAACCACCCAATTTGTGAGTGAAACCTCTGGTGGGTTCACGTCTCCTAGTGTTGAACTGACGACGACACAAGACGTTGAAACTACTTCAGAAGAGCAAGAAACCACGCTATATTCAACCACCAGTCCTCCGGAAACTACCACTGAGGAAGGTCCAACAACATGGGTTGAGGTATCAACAATATCAACAACTGAAGTTGAGACATCAACCACTGATGTAACAACAACTGAAGATGAGGATACTACGACCGAAGGAGAGACAACCGTTACCGTTGGGCAAGAAACTACCAGCGATGAGCCTACAACCACTTCAGGCGAAACATCAAGACCTCCTACAACTGAAATTGAAACAACCGCTGAAGCATGGAGCACTGCTGGCCCGACAACCACTTCTGCTGGTACCACGGACAAGACAAGTAACCAACCGCAGACGACGACGACTACTAAACCAGAGGTGTGCATTCCACCATGCCCATACCCCAACGCAATTTACGCTGACCCAAAAAGTTGCATCCACTATTTCCAGTGTTCGAATAACGTGCCAATCAAAAGGACTTGCTCAGAGGGTCTTGAATTCAACCCTAAATTGCATGTATGCGATTTTCCTTCAAATTTCGTGTGTACTTCTGGCCCCGACGCTCCTTGCGTTGCAGGACCTTCTCCATGAAGCGTTCGTAGGTCAAGAGAGAAGCAATTCTCTAATATATATTGTATGTGATCCATGTGAGAAACATTATACCACTAAAACGTGCTTGTTATTAATCCTTCCTAACCTTCCCACCTTGATCGGTAGTATAGAATTCAATGTACTTCTTTTTCAGCCATTGAAAGAGATGAAATGGCACCCTTTATATAAATACACAATCCATTATCTGTTGAACCATTTACTTCCGAAATAAATGATAATCAATTAGAAAGTTAATTAATGAGGTGAGATTTACTATGTTTCATGAGCAGTTATCCAACATTCCTTATTCGATTGTGTATCTTGCCGCACACACTAAAAGCGAATAGTATTTGTTGCGAAATCGTTCTAAGAGAGCTCAACAGCTAGACTTATATTATGTGTGACTGTGTCATATATTATGACAATTATTAAATGCCTACTTGCTGTGTTCGACTGTGGGACAAATAGGTCCTGGCAAGTCCACTTCTTGTCTGCCACGATCTGCCGCGATTCCAATTAATTATCACAATACAGCGATGTCCTTTAACAGCTTGATGTTGAGATGTTCGCCCTGCCCATAACGACACCATTCCATTTAATCGCAGTTTATTTATTATCACCTCGGCATTGTTAAAACGTTTTTGAGGACTTTTCTGATCAATGATGATCTCAGCTTTCCCTCCCCACAGAAGCACGTGGTCGTCTTTCAAAGCTCTCAGCAATCTTTATTAAAGCAAGGAATTTATTGACTATGTGACGGAAACAAAAATAATTGGCAAAATTAGTGATAAAATAATATATTTAAAAAAATTATTGATATAATACATATACTCAATATGCCTAACCTGACCTACGAATTCATGCGTACTGGTTGCCGAACCAAGTTTCATATAAGAAAGTATACTATAAATCTCATGATTAAGCACTTCTGAAGATTGCTCTAATCGAACCCTTGTATGTACACCACTATTTCAAACCCAAACTTTTGCTCAAAGTCTATCCAATGTACTGGAAAGTTGAAACTTCGATTTGAATTGCACAAAGCTAATTAGAACGGAAAAAATATGAATATGACTATTTATATTTAATTCGAAAATTACCCTAAACCTGAAAATCAATTTACTATAAAAAAACGAAAATGCTGTTCGAATATCACGAGTGTCAGCTCTGCCGTGTCTGAAATAGAATTATTATAAAAACATTTTAGATTCAACTTGAAAATTCACTACAACCTAGAAGTTTATTTACTTTAAAAGGCAAACTTACTCTTCTAATTTCGCTGGTAAGCGAGTGTTAGTTCAGCCGTTTCTGTAATGAATATAGTATTGTTAACTTCTCAAATTTAACGTGAAAATTCTCCCAAACCTAGAAATTTCTTCACTTTAAAGCGGGAATGCGAATAAATTTCGTGGTTTGGGAGAAGTTTCGAGTTTAATTTGAAAAGTTGTGAATACTAGTTCCATTTTAGAAACGGCTGAACTGATACTCGCGAAATTATAGCAGACTTTTTGCCGCTTTAAAATGAATAAATTTCCAAGTTTGGGAGAAATTTCGAGTTGAATTAAAAGTTATGAATACCAATTGTATTTTTGAAATGGCTTTATTGGAGAGAATTTCTTTCACGGAAACTAGAACTGAGAAGCGATGGAGTCAACTGCATGTCGCTGGTCACTTCTGATTCACTGGATGAGTTCTGAGAAACAGGTAGTGTTTCCGCGTGGCAAATAGCATGAGATGACGATTGAAATTAGTGGTGACTTCACTTTAATGGGTTAAATTTAAGACGTCATTCAATGAAATTCAATTTTCTCGTTTGCTGAATATGGACGCGCAATGTGCTTTGATATAAGTCATTATATAATTTACAATCGTACTGCGATGTCAATCAATAAATTCGTTTACTAATTACAGGAACGAAAAAGAAAATTTCTTTGATTTAGAAAGAAATTTCCAAACATGAAGCTCCATTAAAATCCATTACTTGCAATCGGGTGAAGAAAACTCGTCATCGCTAAGAGCATATTTGCCGGAGATTACTTAATAAGCCCTGAATTTTAAATACTACTTTATAGGCGTGGCAAATTATTTTTCATGTTTCTTCGGAATTAAAAGAATTTATTAGCTTTTCATTACATTTATGTACCTTAAAAAGCCTTGGTACTCCTACTAAAAGTTCGTACGTAATCGTTAATTGATAGATTGATTAATCGAATCATTTCTATATGTTTAAATCGGTTATTTATCATACGTAGTGAAATACGAGGAGAATGCGTCATACACAAATTCCAGCATACAGAAAAATGTCCATATCAGTTTCAGTATCACACACGATGAATAACTGCTACGTTCTCACGCTGGTCATATTTTTCACCATATCTGCAATGAGCTATTGTAACCTTCCTTCCTATCTCTGCCTTAACTGGTAGCTGCTTAGCGCTGGTCTTCCCACTTCATACTGAGCTAGCTTGACTATTAGCAACAGCTGGTCATTGAGTGCTTCAACTACAAGGAAAATGAAGTTAAAACAAAATTTATATTTTGCTATTTTTTGCTGAATTTGCAGCATGACATCAGGTAAGTTAGGTACTAAACATCCAGTCAATGATTAAATCCTGACTTACACGAACGAACAAAGAATTTGCAGCGAATGAGTTTCTTGATCCTTCCCTTTCTCTCGTTGTCATTAAATTCACACTGATGTAGCAGCAACAGAGGTTGAAACCACCACTGATGTAGCAACAACAGAGGTTGAAACTTGCACTGATGTAGCAACAACAAAGGTTGAAACTAACACTGATATAGCAACAACAGAGGTTGATACCACCACTGATATAGCAACAACAGAGGTTGAAACAAACACTGATGTAGCAACAATAGAGGTTGAAACAAACACTGATGAGGCAGCAACAGAGGTTGAAAATAACACTGATGATACAGAACTAACAGATGATACAGAGGATGAACTAATATTACGGATTCATTAACCGTCGTCCATGCTATTCCTAATAATGGCCTGGGACCGAGAGCCCCCGTCAGTACACAAAGGATTAGACCCTAAAATTTTGTAGGGTTAAGCGAAGGGTTAAACCCTGTAATTACACTGCCATAAATTTGGACATTACTGGTTTCTTTCACCTGATGAAGAGAGACGAAGTGGCATTCGCTACTAGTTTGTGATTTATAGATGATATACTTAGCTCATCTGATAGTAATTTTTTTTTCTCACAATACTCCGACTTGTAAAAGAGATGCAGAGAATGTTCCGTGACTTTATCTGTTATTCTGAAGGATTGGAATGTGAACTATTTAAAAAACAGCGGAATGAAATTCTACGTTAAAAGATTCACTATGTAAAAGACTATAGGAATGTATAGCGCAGACGTTTTCATCTGGCAACGATACATTTGCATATTCGATGAGGTGTCTTTTGAAAATCGTCGTTGACTTTCGTTAATACGTGTCTTGGAATTTCCTGTTTTTTAGAATTATCAGAAGGCTGAGTTCAAAATAACTCAATAAACCAAGTTATGCGTAAATTGTCACCCCAGTTTAGTGAAATTCGTGTCTTAAAATTTGCAAAAAATTCATTATTCAGCAAATATACGCCTTAGGTATTTAGACATGATCACATGAATATATATACATGTTCTGCATTCTCGCAGTTTCAGGTCGTCACTCGCTCATCAACGATTGATGATTCGACACGCACGCTTCATCACCCATCATCACCCTGCGCACCCAGCTTCACTTGATCAAAGGTCGCTTCATTACCTGCTGATTGCCTGATCCCGCGATGAGGGCCTCTAGACGCTCCTGCCTACATCTCCTGCTCTAAACTACTACCTACATCAATTCCTCTTCTCTGGTTGACTAAGATTACGAATGAGTTTGTTGACTTGCGAAAACGATGAGTAATTTGCCAAATTTATGTCGCGTTAGCATTTAGACCGAACGTTCAATTAAGAGTTTGTTGACTTACGTAAACGATGAGTAATTTGCCAAATTTATGTCGTGTTGGCATTTAGACCGAACGTTCAATTAATAGTTTATCAAATACAGTTGCAATTGAAGCTGCTAGTACCGGAGAGATCCTACAACAAATATTGAAAAATTATTGTAGCTTCAAAATGAATGATATAACTCATAAATTGTTATGTTTGCACACAATCGACAGGATTCAAATAAAATAAATAATCAAGGAAGCTTAATTTGCTCTTCATTTAATTAACATCTTAAAATTATTTCTAAAAAAAATTAAGTTTTGATATTGATTCGAAGTGGTTTAGCTTCACTGAAACGCAGATTTGAAGAACTGTCAAAAAATGAACAAAGTTCAGTCGTTAGGAGCATAATTGCAAATATACGATCCCCAAAATTCGCTTCAAAATAAGTTGGAGGTCGCGGGTTGGTAACTCGTTGAAAAGAACAGCGTGACGAATGCGTGACGTAGCAATAAAGTTAAACGTGCCATTATTAGGAGCGGCATAAATAAATAATGATAGGAAGACCTGTTGAAGGTTTTAATGCTTTGGAAGTTAAGGCAAAGACCTAAGATTAAGGATTGAAATACGATCTTCGGAGCTAACGTAGTAAAATAACGCAAATCTAGACCGAAGAACACGAAAAAATTGATTGATTCGATTTATTGAAACTAATATTTAAATTCAAAGCACCAATTTTGAATAGCATATATATTGAAATGGTAAGCTTTAAACTAAGTCCGACTTCCCAATAGCAAAAAATAAATAACAAAACTAAATTCACACGGCATTCAGACAAACCAATAAATAGATATAAAGAGGTTTATAGCAAATCGGTATAGTTATATACATAGACATTGCTGCAGGTTGATTGTCGCACGATTCGGAAAAGACAATCTCCCATGAAAATTTCTATTTTAAAGAATTAATCACAGTAAAATTGGAGCAATTCGTCAAGTCGAAATCATTCACACGATCACGGGCGGCCAATGTGATACAATGCAAGTAGAGCGCTGACACCAAAGCCCTTCGTACAACATCTAACTTCGAATCCCTACTCATTTCTCGGACGAATTTAGGGACGCAGATTCAACAAATTCTA